CACAAAAATAACGTCAAGTATAAACGTACGATTCAAATCTAATCCAAGATTCTGACTGCTCATTCTTTGTTCAATTTGTCTTGGTAATACTTCAGCCATTAGCCAGACAAATAAGCATAGATTAGTTGGTCCAACTAAATTTATTAATTTTAGACTAATTTTAATTTTTGAAAATAACACCTAAAATAGAATGATCTCCAATGCTAAAAGCATTTTTCTTTTAAATGCATCAATTTCAAGCATGCAAAAAATATAATTTATTATTTTTGTATTTGATTACTTTATCCTAAATTACGTCATTTTAATTGAATTTAAAAAGTAAGGTTTCTAATTTTGATGCTTTTTATCTTTTGAGTGTGCATTATTTAAATAGATTATTCCGAAAAAATTATTGAAAAGCAATTTATTAATTAAAATTTTGATAAGAAGAAAATTCGCGCATTTTCAGTAAAAAGAAAGAAAATTCGCGCGCAAATTAACCACTACAATGTAAGATTTATTAAAGATAAAAGACTGCGCGCGCTTTTTTTTGTTGAATTCTCTTAAAATAAACTAAAGTCTGTGTTTCACTGTGTTATTTTTGAATAAGCGACGAAAAATTGCTGGCGTTTATCACAGAATTACTAACTCACTGTAATTCCAATTCAAAGCGCATTTGTCATCTAGATCAAAAGACGAATTATCGATTACGTGTTTCTTATAAATTGGAAACATTATGGCATCTTCTCGTTTGCTATGTCCAAGTCCTAATGCGTGACCGATTTCATGAATGAATACATTTGGAAACGATGTACCATCACCGCTACTTTTGCTAATCCATTTCTCAGAATCATCTCAAAATAAATATCATATTTATTTATTTATTGATCAAAATAAATCAGTATTTATGATTAAATAAATGTGGTTTGAGCAAAGTTGCAAATCATGTAAATGCTTTATTACTTGATTAGGTATATTTCTGAATTAAGTAACAAAAGTTAATCGAAAAAGAATAGTTTTGTTCATTCTTCTGAATTTCATCAATTTTAATTTTTGTATAATTTCATCTCGCTAATTACTGATTTAAAAACAATGAACAGTGTCAAAAATAATTTTAGGAAATATATAAAGTGAAATAAACTTCAAAAACAAATCATACTGATTCTCAATCTTTCTTATGACATATTTGAGCTAAGATTCTGTCTGATACACTCATCTTTAGCTTATAATCTTATTTGCATAATTCATTACTCATATCACAGTATGCAAAAGCAAACACTGTATCATAAATTTGAATTATTTCTTACTGGTTCAAAGGTCGATTCTTAATCCATCCAGTAATTCCCGCGATGGAATTATTGTATTTACTATTTTTAAGCACTTTTTGGCATTACACAAATTTACTCTTATAATGTATATAAAACTGCAAAGTCTTAGTGGGACAGCGCATATGTGATAGCATTTAAAGTCAGAAAAAAGTTTTCTACTTTGATTAAATTGAAATCTTAAAGTTGGATATATGTCTAAGAACCGTTAACTTCACCTATTTTCGTGCTAATAATTTACTTATTATTATTATCCACGTAATCTCTCTGATGTAACTTAACAAAGCAAGATTGAAAATGCAAATATTCTTAATTAGAAGTTTTTTTTTCGATACTTTCAGTATTTTTTAACATTTCTGTAATTAATAACCTTTGAAAAACCAAAAATAGATGTGAGATGCAAAATGACCCAAAATAAAAGTTGATTTGAAATAACTGAAATGAAACCGAGATGGATATCGCCATTCAATCGTTCCTCATCTGTATAAGTTGGATAGAATGTATGCGCTAGAATATTGGTTTGAGTTCCGGTACCATCAAACTTGTAAGAATCTCCATGATCGCCTTCTGCCCAAAGGATCACAATGTCAGCATCATCTTCGTTTGCAGCTTCTTCGAAGATGAGTTGTACAGATGGCACAGAATTGATAATCGTTTGTGTTGACCACATAACAAACGACTTTTTGATTACAGATCTGTAAAATTATGCAAATTTTTATTCTTGCTATGTGCTCGAATCTGGCAATAAGACTTATCTTTTACTTTTGTATTTACTATAATGATCAAATAATTTGTTGCAAACTTCTTAATTTTTTCAACGTTATTAAAATTATTAAGAACAATTTTCTTTCTTCTCATTTTAATCATAAAATAAGCTAATGTAAAGTTTTACTTTATGAGGTCATATGAGGTCATATCAAGGCATCAATTAACATCCACCAATTATTAGATAACTTTGCTTTCTACTTTTCATGTAGCAATTTTCGAACGGCTTTTGTAATAATACAATTTTATTAGTAATAAAATTAATTGGAAAACAACAACTTTTAGTATTAGTCGTATATCAATGTTTATCAGCCATAGATCACCCAATATTTAAGATAAAATCCTGTTAATCCTGTCAAGTTTCATTATGATAAATTTTTATCACTGGTAAGTAAATTGAATAATTTATTTATCTTTAACTTTCTCAGTTACCAAACTTCAAGATTGTAACTTATTTCAAATATATATATTAATTATTTATGTTTTGCTGTTAACAACAAAGATAATTAAGCAAGTAATATAATATGCAAATAAAATATTGACATTTTTTTTTGAAAAAAAGCAAAAGTTTTGTTTAATTCTTTCGTATTATTTTCACAAATTAATACTGTCGAGGTCATACGCAAAACATTTTATCAAAAATCAAACAAATTCAAATGTTTGGCCCAATTTTTCTAATTTTCAACCATTTGGAGTGGATATATTCCGCTGACCTAAATTAACTTTAGAGGTGAGGAAAAAAGTTGAATTTTTATTTTGCTCTTATACTTGGCATACATATTTGTAAGGAATAGCGAAGAAGGGTGAAGATAAGTGAAGGACAGAATGCATTGTACAAACTGGTTTCAATTTTCAAAGAAGTTTTCAAAAAATTGACAAGTAAAATAAATCATTTCTACGTTAAATATTCTTAAGCTCAACGTTTGAAACAGCTGGCATACAATTTTTAAGTATAAAAAGATTGAGAGATCAAACATTTAAATTGTTAAATTTAAAATATGCAAAATATTTTTTCAATGATCTCAAACTGCATCATTTCAGTCAATAATTTTGATTAATACCTGATTTCTGAACGGGACATATCACGTGTATACCTCCCGACAAACCATTTTAACCTAAGCTCATTATCTGCGGTCAATTTATCCCATTGCGATGTATAAGTAGTTGCTGAAAGAAATCGTAAAATGAATCAGCAATATTTATTGTTTGAAAGACATAACTATGATATTCTTAATAACAAATTAATTTTAGATAATTAAAAAATTACTCAAATCTCAAATCTTAATTGCAAAAAATATCTTTGCTATCATTCGCAATTTCATATTAGTAAATTTAATACTTTTATTATTCTTAAAACTTTTTCTTTATTCCAACTCAAATAAACATTCAATACTTTTTAGACTTCTGCTTGGTATCGCAAGAGTTTCTAATTTTAGCTTCAGTTACAATTATAAAATTAACTGAGAAGAAATTTGTTAAATTTACCGAAGCGTTTCTTCCTTGTAATGATTTCCAGGTTTTTGTTAATTCTACGTCGTCTTTGCAGATTATTCAAATCTCGATTATCTTCTCTATCACTATTCTCATCATTATTCTCAACAGCATAATAAATATCACTTTTATCACCAATAAATTCATTACTAACAATATCTTTGTTGGCTTGCTTCACTGCATTGGATAAATTCACAGAATGATAATGATGTGGCGGTTGTTGGTTTGTGACAACATCTATTGCTATATGCAAATTATTGTCATTTAGCACTTCCTGAAATTTTTTATATCTGTAAATAAAACCTTCCTAAATACTAAATTTGTTACTATTACTTTACTCTTACTTTCATTCTCAAAGTATAATTTGAGAAGTTTCGCGTAAAATTTTTTCTACTTTTATTATTTTCTTCCCAGCAATTTATTTGCTTTTATCAATTTTTTTACCAAAAAAAGAGTCTAATTTTAGTTACAAATAAAGCAAATAATAAAAAATGTTAATAATATTAAAAGATATATCAAACAGTAATTAACTCTGTATTTTTAATTTTAAGTAAGCACTCAGCTAACTAACTAACTAACTAACTGATCCTTACAATTAAACCATTATGAATCCATTCCATAACTTATTTTTCAATATTTTAGAATAGATTTACATCACTTTTCTGTTCTCTTAAAAATTAATTACTAAATCAAATTATACTGAAAATTTTGTCACACTATTTTTAATACAGAAAGA